AGAATGGCTCAGTTCCGTCAAAAATATCAGGTTTTAATTTCAAAGAAACAGAATTGCACTGGCCTGGATTTTCCTGCCCATGCCTTTCGTCGGGTTCCCCTTGTCCCTGCTCCTCCGTCCTCCTCCAACGCCGCAACTCAAGGAGCTCCTGCCACTCCTGTTATCGCTCCTCGCGAAGCTGTTGCACTTCCCGCAGAAGTGTTTGTAAATTTTCTGCCTTTATTTCAGCTCCCTGATTCGACTCCACCATTATTAAATTTGATGCTGCTGTCAAAGCCTGGCTTCGGGTTACTTTCGGCGAATGCATCATAACTCCCTTTCTGGTTCGCACTTCCGTCAGATGCTGAACGATGTTGTTTCTTATCCCGGATGAGCCCCCAAAATGTTGTGCTCACTGTCGCACTCGCGCTTGCACTCAGGTAAATGAAAACACTCGCGTAAGAATAACAAGCTTTACTATTTACAGCGCAGCTCGCTCAAGCTTTAAACAAGAATAATTCTCTATTTGATAATTCTCGCGTCTGTCCTCGATGACAGCTAGTCAGAGACTCCCTGTCAGCTGTTGTTGTTTTCTTTTTACCGATTTTCCGTCCAGACAATTTTCGTTCAGTTGTCAAAATCAGCATCAGATGCCTAAGGCTCACGGACAACAGACGCTGCCACAAACCTTGTGGCTCGGACACAACAATATATAGACTAACTTCTTTTTGTATTCTTTATGCTCTCTGGATATCAATTGTTCAGACATAAACAATACATGTTAAATCTAATTAATGAATTAATATCTAATTAACCCATTAATGCCCGCTGGAACAGAAATTTCGCGTTGATTTCAATGTTATGAATTTTTGAAGAATGCTCGAAAATTTTAATTCAAAGTACATTACTAAGAGTTTTCGAGGTCGCTCTTTCCGAATCGGCTGCGAGAATCATAAAAAAATGAGTATTTGTATTGATTTATAACGGTTCTTTTTCCAAAAAATGCGATTTTTTCTCGTCAATTTTTTTTAAACCATGGATTTCATCTTGATAAAAATGTTGAATATTATTGAAAAGTACTCCAATCGTATCCTCAAGACTTGTACTTAAAATATATATGGTTCTGAAATTTTTTGCAATTTAGTAATTTCAATATGGCGATCATATGCATGTATCACCATAGATATCGCTGGATCCTTGGGAACTCGGTCGAATAACTCGTTATGACCTAAATTTGGGGCCTATCACATGAAAGAACTCGATCAACAGGACTTTTATTTTAGATAATTTTTCATAAAAATACACTCATAACGAGTTATTCGACCGAGTTCCCAAGAATCCGGCGATATCTATGGCAATACATACATATGGTCGCCATATTGAAATTGCAAAAATTTTCAGAACCACATATATTTTAAGTACGAGTCTTAAAGATACGATTGGAGTACTTTTCAGTATTATTCAACATTTTTATCAAGACGAAATCCATGATTTAAAAAAAAATTGACGAGAAAAAATCGCATTTTTTGGAAAAAAACCGTTACAAACCAATACAAACACTCATTTTTTTATGATTCTCGCAGCGGATTCGGAAAGAGCGACCTCGAAAACTCTTAGTAATATATTTTGAATTAAAATTTTCGAGCATTTTTATAAAAATTCATAACATTGAAATCAACGAGAAATTTCTATCTCAGCGAACATTAATGAGTTAATGAAAACTAACTAATAAATGAAAACAAAAACTAATTACTGTATGCGAATGGATCACAGTATCAAATGAATATTGCACCATAAAAAAACAGTGTATCGCTGTTTCTCAGTAAACATCAACTAACACACTATCCTACGGATAACAGAATATCCTACGGATGTTATGTGGATATCTTATGTAATTTGTAACCAATGCACATGTTCTCAGGTACTCCTATGAATAACTTTTTCATTTGGAACATAATAGGATCATTTTGATCAAATTAGGATATACTTTGGAGATCTAATGCTATGTGGGATATAAACATATTGTTAGCAGCAGATCCTATTTCCTCTATTTAAATCCTATTTAAACTACGTAGAATAAAAACATATTTATAATCTATTTATAACCTCTGCCATTCCTGAAATATTAAAAACTGTATCTATTCAGTTTTCGTCGTCTATATCTTTCTCTGATTCTGATGAAAGCTGTGTATTAAAATAGTCGTCCAGATGTTGAATGGGAATTAGGATAGCGGCTAAAAGGCGCGCCTTACCGAAAAACAAGATTAGTATGGCAACATAGGAACAGCATTCTACAACACGTTGCTCGATTTTGCAATTGCAAGTAACATGTCACTCAATAAGTTCGTAGGATGACATATAAATGACGCTACTATTGACAAATCCATATGATTTTTAGGAAATACTAACCTTCAAATGATACATGTCAAAATTTCATGATAATCGGACGTTTAGTTCACAAGTTACAGTGGTTTTAGTGAAGCACGACGTCGACTCGTTTTAGCAACGATTTAGCAACGTCGACGATTCAGCGGGCTGTTTGGAGCTGTTTCAGCGCAATAAAAAGGATTTTTTGATGCGGTATGTGACAATGGATGAAACATAGATTCATCACTATACTCCAGAGTCAAATCGGCAGGGAAAGCTCCAGGGAAAGAGATTTAGCTCCAATGAAGAAGTGATTGCCGAAACTGAAGCTTTGTTAAAACGAGTCGACGTCGTGCGTCACTAAAACTATTGTAACTTGTAAACTAAATGTTCGATTATCATGAAATTTTGACACGTATCATTTGAAGGTTAGTACTTCCTAAAAATCATATGGATTTGTCAATAATAGCGCCATTTATATGTCATCCTACGAACTTATTGAATGATGTGTTATGCCCAGTAATGGTATCAATTCCAGCCATTATTGTTTTATCGACAAGCAGGTAGATAAAGTACTTAACAGAATTAGAATGCCTAGAACCTAGAATGCCTAGAATATTATTATTGCAAAAGTTGCTCGGTAATGACTTTCAATTTTGCCAATTTTGTGAGCTTCCAACTTCATTGTGTCTAAACCGATTAGCAATGTATTGTAAACTCAAGATTTTTCAAAGTCATAAGTTGCATTTATTTATCGCATCTTTGGTAATTCAAGTTTGAATTATTTATTAAAATAATAAATAAAAAAAAGTGAGCTTTGAATAGAATGCCATTCATAAAGTCTACATCTATTCCGTATTTACGGTAGTTAATGTGTGTAGTTTCCTTTGTTCAATTCACTTCAAATTCAAAATCTCTCGTTTTATTCAAGTGGTCCGCATAGTAACTCCGCGCCATTTTTATTTGATATTTACCACATGAGTACAATTGAAGCTGTAAATTGTCAAGTTGAGGAAAGACGTCTATTTCAAGAGTCTCAATACGTTGGAAGTACGATTTTCGTGCATTGAGGTTTTCTTCTGGAACTAGTAAAGAGAGGGCATTGTCTCTGTTTAAAAAGCTAAGCCATCAAAAACTTATGTTTTATGAATATTGAATTATATTTCCATTTCTGACCTACGGTAGTCATATTCGATTCGTCACCTTGAATTTTGAGTTCTTCTGTACAAAATTGAAAAGAGCGCTTTCAAACACCGTTGTAATATAACCATAGATTTTGAACAATATCTGCATTTTTTAAATGTTTCACGGCGGCCATATTGAGTCCGCCATTTTGAATTTTGAATTTTTGGCTCTAAACTCCAACGAGAACATTACACAAAACTCCTTTACACCAAGTTTCATGAATATCGATCAAATACTTTCTAAAATATAAGAAATTATGCGTACACGCTTCCTGTCGTCAAAAGATGAAACGAATTGAACTGTGCTCATTCTATCCATATTCCCAACATTTCAGGATGAAGTAAATGTCACTTTCCTCTCTTAAATAGTCCAAATAACATTTCTTTAATACGTTTTCACTTTACACTTGCAGAGATAAAAATGGCCTCTTTTTAACATCCTCCTTTAGAGTAGTCCGATCTAAAAGGCAACCAATTAAATATTATAAGAAAATACTATAAATATAAATAAAATACTATAAAAATACTATAAGAAAAATGTTTATTTAAATTGTTTTGCTAAAAACTATTAATTAATAATATAAGGTATTATTTTCTAAATTTGATGCTATTAGTCCTTAAGGACCGCCGCCTAAATGAAAAGTTCAATGCCAGTCCATAAGGACTGGTATAGCCTAAACGGAAAGTCCAGCGCTGGTCCGCAGAGACCGGCGCACAGTGGGAAATTTTGCTCACTTTTTGGACAAAAATCTTGTTAGAGCTCAATTCTTCATGAAATTGAATGATTTTTTTTTTTAAATATTCGTAAAGACTTATACTTTAAGCTGGTACTGCGGAAATTTAGTTATCGTTAAACCTATATTAAAGAAAGATGATCAAATGCGAGTAAACCTAAAACTCATATATCAACCATATACTCTTAAACATTTAAAACGTAGCCTTTAGCCTTTAGGATTGAAGAATTTAAGTTTAAGGGCTTAGGGTTAAAGCGTTTTGAGGGTTTAAGAGACCTTATACAATAAGCAATTAGTCAAAAGCCGTAAGCAAATTGACGAATCATATTCGATTATTTTTTAAATTATCGACTGTGGTTGATCAATTTGCTTACGGTTTTTGACTAATTGCTTATTGTAGAAGACTTCTAAGAGTTTAAGGCTAAAGGTTCTACGTTTTAAATATTTAAGAGTATATGGTTGATATATGAGTTTTAGGTTTACTCGTATTTGATCATCTTTCTTTAATGTAGGTTTAACAATAACTAAATTTCCGCAGTACCAGCTTAAAGTATAAGTCTTTACGAATATTTAAATAAAAAATCATTCAATTTCATGAAGGATTGAGCTTTAACAAGATTTTTGTCCAAAAAGTGAGCGAAATTTCCCACTGTGCGGCGTAGCACAATTGGAAAATCCTTTGCCACGTTTAACGTGTTAATGTTTTATTATATCGCTTCTTATTTATAATCTCAAG